TTTTAGGTTATTAAATGCAAGGCTGCTGTTGCCTGGGAGGCAGGTAAACCTCTTTCTATTGAGGAGGTGGAGGTTGCTCCACCAAAAGCTCATGAAGTTCGTATCAAGGTAATGACATAAATTCTTACTATATGTTTTCTCTTTTAGGAGAATGAGTTTTATTTATCTTTATTAAAGATAAATAGTTTGTTTGCCAACAGAAGAAATGTTGAATAGGTATCATTAGTGCATTAGTATCTCAGCTGGCTTTACAGAGAAGAAAATGACAATATTTAGATCTTCTGTTTATGAAAAACATTTTCATTTCCACTAGTCTCACTTCACAGTCTGGTCTGAAGATAATGGCTATTTTAAGGATCAATTCCAGTTGTTACAGACTAAGTTCCCTCAAAATGTCTGAGCTGTGAACATCTTTATCTTGTTTGAAGGACAGTTTGTCATTTGTGACCATAAGTTACTGGCTGCTGAGCTGAGATTGGTCTCTTGCATTTGCCATATCCAAGTTTCTGATTTTGTCAGGACTTTCCAGGAGCCTGTATCTGCCAAAAAGTATACATTAATGTGAAATTTATTCCTGTGGAAAGGATTTCTACTATGTGGTGCTGAAGACTTAAGCAGGATTTATGCAGTACTGAGAGTTCTGCATGGTCTCTCTGGAAATTTTACTTCTGAGTCTTAACTTATTTCAAAGCTGAGATGCTAAACTATGATGAGATGACTTGGAGCACTAATTTCTAGCTATAGGAAAAGACAGATAATCTTTTACCCCTTTCAGTGTCAGATTTTGGTTGATGGAAATTATAAAAATGTACTGTCGTGACTTTGCATTTTTGAAATAAGAAAAACTGCCTTGCCAGGAATTGAAAATATGTTGCCCATATCCCAAATGCTGCCAGAACTTTGACCTGGCAATTGTTCTTAACTTCTGACTAAAGGGAATTGTTTAGATCTGTGCTACTGTTCTGTTTTTCAGGGTGTCTCAGATTATTTATTTCTTCACAGATAGTTGCCACTGCTGTCTGTCACACTGATGCCTATACACTGAGTGGTGCTGATCCTGAAGGATGTTTCCCTGTGATCCTGGGACATGAAGGAGCAGGAATTGTAGAGAGTGTTGGGGAAGGAGTAACAAAAGTAAAGAAGGGTAAGGAATTCCCTTACAAGTTTTCTGCCTTCCTTGAAAGTGTTACTTTATTTGAAGAGTAACTGTCAAATTGGGCCACTGAAATGCCATATTGCAGGAGTTAATACAGTATTTTATTCTGGGTGTATGCCTGTGTAGATTTCTGTGGTCTGTGAGACAAAACACTAATTTGTTCAATGAGATCTTGATTTAAAGCTTGAAAGAGCCCAGAATAACCTTTTTTTTTACTTGAAATGTATAATTACAAGAGGGTTGGGGGGTTTATTATTTTTTCAAATTATAGTTTTTATCTGTTGATTTAATTAAAAGGCTTAAAGTGTTTAGTCTTGTTGTTCACTGTTGATTTGGGGTTGTTTTGTTTCACAGTAACATTGCTACTTGTTCTGGAATGATGAATTTCAGATGGGTTGTCTGCTCAGCCAGGATTTCTGTATACCATAAACAGCTTTTAGTACACAAAGGTTTTAAGTGAACTCAAGCTCACAGAAAAACATGCAGAATCAAGTAACTTCACTTTTTTTTCAGAATGCCTTGCTTGACTCCATAACTAGACACAAAATATTTTTTTTCCTTAGGGGACACTGTTATCCCTCTATACATCCCTCAGTGTGGAGAGTGCAAGTTCTGTAAGAATCCTAAAACAAACCTGTGCCAGAAGATAAGGTGTGTATAACTTTGACACATGCTATAGTATTTGTTCAGTGTATACCTGCTGTAGTTAGCAAAAGTAATTGACAGGAGTTTTCATTGAAGAATCAATCTGTTGATGCATCATTTAATGACTTGGAAAGTAGGTGTTTCAGGAGTCAGGCAATTTTTTTCTTTAAAAAAGTCTTCCTTAAAAATTCTATTCTTCCCTCAAATAAAACTGTTTCTCTCTTTTCATGTATATTAAGGTGCAAACTACTACCTCGTGTCCACAGGTTGGAAAACATAAATGCTCTGACTCCATATTTAATCCATACTGAAGGGAAGCACTTCAGGGAATTTAGCTGTTAGGAGTGAACACCAAAGCTTTCAAGTGGTAAAAATTGTATGGACAGCTCTTTTTTTTCCTTAACACCTGCTTCCCAGATAAATTTGCAGCTCCTGTTCTGAAAAAAAAAATCTCCCAAACTCAAAAAAAGCCCTAATGACATAACTGATGTGTGTTATTCAAAGGGAGGATACTGAAGGAGGCTAAGTGGTGTGGTGCTGTGGCACAAGCAGTTAGCCTTGGTAACTAACAAGGTCAACATGTGAATAAAGTCCATTTCTTTCAGTTTTTCCCTGGAGGAATTAACTGCATGAAGTTTTAGGAGTTTAGCATCTCACTTCTGTGAACTTCTAGGGTTATTGAAGTGGTCAAAATATAAAAGTGCAAGTATGCAGCTGTCTCTGTGTGCTGCTTAGTGGACTCTGTCTGCTGAGAATATTTTCTGTTTAAAACTCTGCACTTTCCTGTCTTTGCC